CATCTCCAATCCCTTTTTGTCTGCCTGGCATCAGGGAGCGCTTACACACATTCTGCCGTTTCAGTCCAGCCTTTTTTTGTCGGTCCTCCCCCGCGTTCACCCCCATTTTTTTTTATTTTTTTTTTCCCCCTTTACTGTCACCAATGTCCACAAGGAGTCGGCCATGAAATCTGTGCTGATTGGCGTGATCCTGAAGGGAATTTTTCTGCTAGCAGGTAATGAGATCTATACAGTAATTGCAATGTGTCCTGAATGCTTGCGTGCCTGCCCAGGGCAGGGAGCTGGTTGTGCGATTAGCGGTAGCTGGAGGCACGAGAAGGAACAAGAATTGACTGGAAAGGAAGAATGTTTTTGTTTTGAAGAGACCTAAAGTTTTGTTTTGGAAACTTTAGGGTAAGGAATTTCCTTGTTGCGGCAGGATGAATGCGGAGCTGTCGGCGTGCTCCGTGGGCATCTTTGCTACGGTTCTGCCCGGCTCTGTGCAGGGATGAGATGCGGGGTGTTCCGAGGCACGGGTCCTTGCTGTGTGCTCAGGTGTACTGTCTCAACGCACAGATCTCTCCCTCTTACTGCTGTGAAACTTCAGGTTTGCTTTTTATGGGCGTTTTCACATTTTTTTTTCTTTTTCCTTTAAGAATTGCAGACTCCTTTAGTGAGAAGTAGTTTTTGTTTTAACTCGGAGGACAAACCCTTTCTGGCCTATGCACTTCTCCATCTCCTCCCCCACCGTCTCCTTGAGTAGTAGTGCACGGTGGGAGAGAGGTCAAAGCAGTGTGTTTCCATGGAAATAGCAGTAATTGTGCAAATATAATTGTGTCGGGGTCCGTTTGTTGCGGCTAATTCTCTCCCCCCCTCTCTCCCTCCCCTCCTTTCTTCTTTTGATAATAATAATACAAACCCTAATTAGGATGCACCAGAGAAAGGTTGCTAGGAATTCAGCTGTCTTAGGGGAGAGGGCAAGCCGGTGCTGGCCGGGAAACCCCACTGAACTCCCATGCTTCATGATTGGGCCCGTGAATAGACCTCGTACTTTCAAGTTTTTTTGGTATATGACAGCTAAATTAGAATATCTCTCTTTCCGTGTGCTTATTCTTTTATCGTACTATGTGTCTGTTGAAGTATATGATCCATACACGGTGTACAATGAATCTTCGCTTATTAATAGTAAATCTTTACCTTCACTGGGGAACAGCGAGCTGTATGGATTTTAATAACACTTGCCTCTGAAACAAGACTTTTCTCACCACATTGGTAACACTTCAGGATCTAGTAAATAGGTTTGTGTGTGAAGATAACTGCAGACTGCTAAAGCTCAGGGACCTCTGGGTGTCTGTTTCTGACCCAGCCCCTGTGGATTTAGTTTGGGACCAGTAGTTTAAACACTGCTAAATTAACCAGAATGTTTCAAAATACTTGTCTCCAGATTGCAGCCTTTTAAATAACACTTGTCTAATGTTCAGATAACAGGTTCCACTGGTTTGTGTTTGTTAGTCTTTAATTAGATAAGAAACTCCTTAAACACTTTAAAGTCTCCTAATGATGTAATGAATCAGATTGGCAACGTTGCTTTTACTATTGATCAAATAATAGTAAACATTGAGCTAAGAAGTTTAGAGGGAACAGAGAAGACTACATAAGAGTAACTTGTTTTTCTCAAATGGTCATCTTCCTTTTTTTTTTTTTTTTTTTTTCTGGAGAAACAAATTAGTTTTGAACTTCCTAATATCCACTTTCCAGTGAGTTTGTTATGACACAACTGTCCATGTCTTGGAGAAGATTGGAATAATGGATGTCTGGGAAATGATCTGTACTTCTGGATACTGTAATGGCCTATGGCAAAAATCTTATTTTTTCTAAAATAGAGAAACATTCCTTTACTTTGCTGTCATCCCCTTCTTCATTTACACTCTGTCATCTGCAACCAAACCTTGAAATTACAGACCCCTCTGCCACACTGAAATTAGTGTCTAGGAAGCAACATGCAACAGAAATCTCCCCCTTCTGCCTTGTTTTGGTGTAACTGAACAATTTGACAAACTGGAGATGTTCAAACGCAGTTGACAAAAGTCACTGGTGATAATGGAGGAGGAGAGAGGGCAAGACAGCTGGCTGCTGAGAGGTCTGGTCACTGCAAGGCACACCAGGAGTTAGTGATGTAGCACCGGGTAACTGTTGAGCAAGGGGTGACGTGGGCTTCCAGGAAAAAAAACTGTCATTACCCAGATTTTTAGAACTCTTGCAGAGCCTCCTCCGTTACAAGTTATTTCAAAACTGCTCCAAATTCAAACCTGGCATTGCACTGGCTTCTAGGATGGCAAGAATACATAAGGTGGTGTTTTAGAGGCCCTTCCCTTCTCTCCTCTACTCCTGTGAAGGCTGGCTGTTTGCTGCCAGAAACAACGGCAGTGCTGAAGATGACACTTGTGGTTTCTGAAGATGATGCTTGTGGTTTTGGTTCCTCTAGGAAGAGCTGCCTTCCTCTTTTTCTGCTGCTGAGCATTTCCTTTGCCTGTCTGTAAGCTGTGAGGTTAGACTGCAGTGTGCAAAGACCTCAAGTGTCAGCTTACTCTTTTCACCCATTTCAAACAAATAATCTTAAGAAAATCAAACCAGCTGCCTCCCATGGGAAAGCCTGGTGTTTAATTAGCCACCAGCCTGGGGTTGTGCACTCACCGTAGGGACTAATTTGCCACCTGGTGTGAAGCCCTTGCCCCACGGGTGTCAGCTGGGAGGCTGGGAATTGGCCTCGCTGGTGTCCTGCTGCTGCTGGATGGAGAGAGCCTGTGGCTGGGCTAGGAATGCCAGAGGGGAAAGGGGGCTCCCCACCCTCGAAATGCCAGAGGGGAAAGGGGGCTCCCCACCCTAGGAATGCCAGAGGGAAGGAGGGGGCTCCACACCCTGTCTCCCGGCCTTCTCAGAGATGCAGAAATTCATGGCATCTCTCCTTTTCAATACTACAGTCTTCTCACTGCCCCAGTAAATATCAACAGCTCGCATCTGAAATGAGCAGCATCTCGGGGATTTGGGACTATATCAAACCTGTCTTCCTGACACCATTCAACAGCCTCTCCCCTTAAATCTGACTGCAGACTTGCCTCTTACAGTTCTGAGAGCCTACCAAGGCACTGATAACTGAGAAAACCCCCTCCACATAGTCCTACCACTCTACTGATTTTTCTTAATTCCAGCTGAAGTCTTCCTGCTGTCTCCCAGACCCAGAGATGTCTGTTATACTCTATTCATTCCAGCACGTTTGCTTCAGGTGTGGCCGTAGCTTTGTGATGAAATCTTAATTCTGTCCTTGCTGCTTCCTTTACAATTGTGGTCACACCCCAGGTTCTGTGGGCTGAGCAAGTCCAGCTGGAGAAAAAAGGCTGTGCTGAGGTAGTATTAGTAACTCTGAATCCGTGCCTCAGCTGAGCTCCTCAAGGCACACATTATTGGCCAAAGTCAGTGCTTATCCACAGGCACTACACAGAGCAATTCTCTTCTAGTTTATGTCAGTAGAGCACTATTCTAGAGGAATCTGAGGTAATTTTGCCTACAGAACAGCTCCAGTATAGCTGGAAAGTGCAGAATTACTAGAGACTTCCATTTCTCTTTCCGTGCTTCTCAGAGCCCCATACGTGTCACGTCCCTCCGCTGACACAAACGGGATTTTGGAGCTGGCAGCTGGTGTGGGGTCTGTGCCGATGGGCAGAGCGCTGGTGACAGCAGCCAAGCGCCGGCTCTGGACGAGCGAAGCAGCTTGGTTGGGCAACGGGGTACTAGACGCTTGGGCAAGACTGCCCGTGAGGCATTGCTGGGCCATGACGGAACAAACCTATATATTCGAGAAGCCTCTGTCTTTGCTAAATTTTGGTGGTGTTTTTGTTTTAATCACACATCAAGTCCAGCTCCAGTGCTCCTAATGCCCCATCTCCCCTCATCGCTTTCCCTCAGGCAACTCTCTAATCTCTTTGACATGCACATTCTGTCTAGTGGCTTTTCTTTACAAATGTCTTTTGTGTTTTGATTCCCCTCCTTTGTGTGTGAATTCCTTCTTTTTCTTTCTGTTGTCCTCGTTGTGCTTGCTAGCTAGATTCGGCGTGTAATGCTATTAGATTGGGATAATCCATGCTTGGTTTATCTGTGTGACTGTCTCTGAAGATTAGTGAAAACCAACGTTATGGGCTAGATAAAGTGAACTGGTTCAGAAGGGCTCTTCTGTCAGTCTGGAGATGCTCAAGAAAATGACAGCAGATTTTCATTAACCAGATTTGAGTGTAATGTCTTGTAATTTACTTGAGCCCTGTTGGGACACGTGTGCCTGGAGGAGACAGACGAACTGCAGTGCGGTACTTCTTACCCACTTCACTTCTGCAGGACTGGACAGAACTGAAATCAGCTTAGTGCGAGTATGGCAGAATGCCTGTGGAGCGTGTTTTGTTTGTTGGTTGGTAATGAATTGAGTTTTGTGGGTGTTTCACAATTGGAGGGTCATCTGGGAATTTGAATTTTCTTAACCGAGGCTTTCCAATAACCTCCCATTTTAGCGCTGTCTGCAGTAGTAGTGCCTAGAATGCGATCTGGTTAGATCTATAGGCTTGAGTTTCATTGTACCAAATCTATTACGAAATAAGCACAAAACCCTTTGTCTGTGCTGTTTTGTCCCTTCAGTATCCTCTGCACGGTGATCACCTGTGGCGCCTGGGAGAGGACGGCAGTCTGTCGGGTGATGTAGGCTGACTGGCCGAGGCTCTATAAATAGCACCTTCTTTGCAGCATCTGGGAGGACAGCACGGAAGGATGGTTTTGTCGCTATTGTGTCAGTGGTTGAGCCACCCTGTAGTGAGCACGGGGCTCCTTGCTGGCAGCTCCTGGTCTTTTGGTGGTTTCCTGAAGAGAAGGGCTCAGGGAGCGGCAGCGCTGGGGAGGGCGGCCTGCGCCTGGCCGCCTGCTCTGGGGGAGGGAGTCCCGGTCCCCTGCAGCGAGATCCCATTTCTAAATCTCTTTCGCAGGTGTGGAATGTGCTGTTAACATCAATGAGTGTGAGGAGGGTCCCTGCAAGAATGGAGCTGTCTGTGAGGATGGCATTGCTGACTATACCTGCCACTGTGCCCCTAGCCAGGATGGCACTGTATGGGGAGGGAAGAACTGCTCTGTCAAGCTCACTGGGTGCCAGACGCACGACTGCCAAAATGAGGCCTTGTGCATCCCAACCTACCAAGCTGAGAGCCACGGCCACCTGTGCCAGTGCCAGCCTGGTTTCTATGATGCCACATGCTCAACACCAACAACATTTTCCTTTGCTTCCAGAGGGTATCTCCTCGTTGAGCTGCCCGTGAACAATGAGAGCAGGAGGGACGTAGCAGGAGATCAGCTTGCCAGCGTGTCCCTCCGGTTCCGAACCACCTTGCCCAGTGCTATCCTTTTTTACCGAGGCCATGAAGCTGAGTACTTGTTCCTGGAGCTCTTCGATGGCATTCTGCGTGCAGGACTGAAGAGGGAGGATGTTGGGTACACGCTGCTCCTGGAGGGGCTGAGAGTTGATGATGGCCAGTGGCATAAAGTTGAAGTTGCTCTGCACAGCTCTGTGCAGCTGAAGCTCTGGCATGACTCTTGCGACGCCGGTGTCTGCCTGCGCAGCTCTCCCGTCCTGCACGGCGCTGCTCGGGTCCCGCAGGCCTTCCTGAACATGTATGTTGGGGGTGCCGAGCATCCAATGGCCAACAACACATGGAGCCAGCAAGGCTTTGTTGGCTGCCTGGAGGACTTTCAGGTAGATGCCGAAGCTCTGCTGCCGGCGGCTCTGCTTGGGGGCGAGTCCTCCCCGGCGCAGCAGGGCTGTGACCGTACGGAGTGGTGCCTCTCCCGGCCCTGCTTTCACGGAGGCCTGTGTGTGGACCTTTGGACAACCTTCAGGTGCGACTGTTCTAGGCCTTATGGGGGCCCGGCTTGCTCGTACGGTAAGTGCCACGTGATTTACATCTGCCAGCTCCTCTGTTAATCAGAGATACCAGATAATCATTGATGCTGGCTCTGCAAGCAGTATTTTCTGCTTGACCAGTGAGAAAAGTAAAGCAAACCCCTCTATAAATAAAATTCTCACTGGTCCCTTTCCTGTTACTTGTTCCTGTCAGTTTTGTGGTGCAGATGTTAGTCCTCGTTGAGCCAGAGGCTCCGACTTCACCTTTTTATTCAGATCTCTGTGAATGCAGGAGGGCAGGGAAGTTGTTTTAGTGTGAAAAGTTGATCTTTGAGCTTCTGAGCTGAGGATGAGTAGCAATGTATTACTTTATAGCCAAACCACAAAGAGCTGATGGAAGCTCTTGGACAATTTTGAGTTAAAATCATAACTATTTGCATTTTTTTGTTCCTGCAAGGCTTATATTAATAGTTCTAGGTTTTTGTTTCACTCCTGAGCCCTAAACATGGCAATTAAAGTTGTTCTGCTGTTACCAAATTTACGGATTTTAAAAGCACCTTTGTAGCTTAAAAGTCCTTGAGCAAATCTGCTAGGTGGCAAGGACTCTGCTAGAGCTCTATTTCCCTCTTCTGCTACTTGGGTGCTTGAATTCCTGTCCTCCAGAGAAAGCAAGGGCACATTCACTTCTTAATTTCACAGACCTGTGTGGGGAGAGAGCATAATTACCCTGATGCATGTCGAAAATGTTGGGAAGAAAGATCTTGCCCCCTCCATGAGGAGCTGCAGTTTAGAACGTCCCCGTGCCAGCTGCATTCCCCTTGTCGTGTAGGTGATGTGTGTTTCTTTTCTTTTCCAGAACGCCCCGCAGCAACATTTGGCCTAGAGAATTCCACCAGCTTTGCCTCTCTCGTCCTTTCTGAGAGCCTTGATGCAAACTTCAGCATCTCCTTTTTCATGCGTAGTCGGAAACCTAACGGTTTGCTATTGCAAATCCGCAACGAAACCGACCCCTGCCTCACCATATACTTGAAGAATGGCAAGCTGAAGATAGAGATGTTATCTGCAGCTACTGTCACATTCCCAGAAAATTTAGTTGATGGGAGAAGACATTTGGTAGCTCTGTCTTTCCAAGGAGGAATTGTTGGTGCTCACCAATCAGACACATACGTGGAGCTAGGACGGCTCGTGGCAGGACCTCTTCTAGCTGGTTATGAAGTGTATATTGGTGGACATCCTAACCCAGACAGCGCTGATACGTGGGGAGGCTATTTTAAAGGCTGTTTGCAAGACATCCAGCTGAACAGCCACCAAATACAGCTTGTTCAGGTTGAGAACTACAGTCTGCCACAGGAACTCAATGGGACTCAAAATGGAAATCTGGTTACGGGTTGCATCTCTGATAACACCTGCAAGGTATGATGTCTCTCATTGTGTGGTTGGTTGTTATAGTTCTGTGATTAAAGAACAGTTTGACTGTTGCTGATATCAGGAGGATGAGGAGTTTTTGAAGTATTGAAGGACACGTGGTCCCAGACGCTCCTACATCACTCAATACACTACATACAATTTAAGCACCAGGTTTTCTCGAGCTCCCCTCTAGTTTGTGTAGTTTGTACAACTTGGGCAGTCCTGCTCCTGTGCTGCCCACCTCTGTTTTGGTGAGCCCACGCTTGCGTTCCAGGCTCTACCCTCTATCCAGTAACCCTCCCAGCTCCTCCCTTCCTCCTGTTTCAGTTGCTCAACCACCTCTTCCCCCAGGAGTTGGTCACTTCAGCAACAACAGTTCACAGAACTGTCTCTGTGGGTGCCCTTAGATCAGAAGCTGCCTCTCCTTATGTCACAGGTGAAGATGGGGAGGCCATACTCCCGAATTCCGCCCTTCTTGCTCGTGGTGCTGTCACATATTGTCACGCCTCTGGGATTAGGTGTGTCCTGGAGCTTTGTGAGGTTTTCCGAGCACTGCAGATTTTCATCTATTTCTCACCTTCGCTTTTGTGCTTTGTTCTTTTCCAACTTGATGAAGCTTTGCCTGGGGAGTTTCTGTTGATCAGCAGTCCACCTAGGGAGAGGCAGGGTCTCAGGAATTTCTTGTACAGAGACCCTTGTGCTTCCTTCCCTGCTGTTCAGTCACTATTTTAATTACCCTTCTTTCTTGATTCAAGAGCTGCTCATCTTTGTTGTCACATTTCCTGCTACCAGATTCTCTTAGATCCAAAGATGAATTATGCTGCTCCTAAATTCCACTATTTTGTTTTTCAGTCTGAACCATGCCAGAATGGTGGCAGATGCATGGTCACTTGGAATGATTTCCATTGCAGCTGTCCAGCAAATTTTACTGGGAAATTTTGTGAGGAGAGAGTCTGGTGTGAAAGTGACCCATGCCCTGAAGCTACCACTTGTATAGATGTTCTAGCAGGATACGTGTGTAAGTACTGTTCTCCTGCTTACGTGTGGGTAAAATCCCAAACATACACTGTTTAGAGCAGTATTCTTAGTTTGTACTGTTGCAGTAAGTAGAAACCCATCCCGCAAAAAGGAAGCAGAATGATGCCCAAGTGCACACTCTTGCAGGCAACATGCATGATAGATTTACCACCAGGTTGTGACAGTGTGAAGATGGCACTCCAGCGTGTTTTCTCTGTTCCTCTGACTTGATCAGGGAAGAACCCGTCCACCTCTGTGGAGTGAATGCAGTGCAAGGACCAGCCTGCTCTCTGTAATGTTCAGCCTTTTCTAAAGTCTCAGGTTACTTCACCAAGTAGGACCCAAATAAGTATCGTAAATATGTCTCAGTTTTCTCTGAAGACAGGAACCATGGAGAATGAAGAAAACTAGTTGGCTAGTGATGCCGTGATGCAGAGGAGTGTTGGGATGTTGGGGTGTCCCAGCTCTGCCACTGGCTGCCCCAGCAGCTTTGGATGTATTACATTCCTGAAGCATGTGCTAGTTTTTCTAGCAGTAAAAGGGGAATAGTTGGATTTTTGTGAGTGCTGTGAGACTGATGACTGAAAATAGCTACACAAGAGCTGGACATTCTTATTAGAGATGCAGCTGTGAACAGGAAGAGCTTTAAAGATGCCAGCAGCTAGGCCTGTAATCCTGCTCACACTAAGCTTACATGATTCTTAAGGAGAAAACCTGCTAGGAGTTTGCCGTTGCTGTGCCTCAAATGTGACAGTGACTGTCTTTCAAATCCCTTACACTCTGCCCCTTCATTTATAGGTCTGGCTAATGCAACATTTAATAGTGAGGCTGCCATTGAGTTTACCACCAATACCTCGGTGACTCGAACTCTGAGCAGCCTCCACGTGGATTTCAGGACCAGGGATGAAGATGCTGTTTTGCTTCGGGCTGTGGAAGAGGTGGATTCCCTCCAGATAGCCATTAAGAACTCCTCCCTGGTTGTTGACATCAGGAGCGGGAACAGCATCGAAGGCATCAGGTTCGTGAGCCAGGAGGCGGTGACGGACGGGGCCTGGCACAGCTTGGCCGTGGCCATGGAGGAGCCGGCTGCGCCCGCCTCCGCGTGGCTGCTGCGCTTGGACGGCGCCGGGAACGTCACCCTGCAGGGGAGCGCCGGGAGCTTGGACTTCCTGAAGAACCAGGCGCCGGTCCTTGTGGCCGAAAACTTCACCGGGTGCCTGGGACGGGTGCAGGTAGGGGGGATCCACCTGCCCCTCGCTGCGCCCCTCTCGTACCCCCAGGCCGAGCAGTTCTGGCGCGTCGGCCGAGGCAGCGTCCGGCTGGGCTGCGCCGGGGCCGACGTCTGCGCTTCCAACCCCTGCCTCAATGCTGGCACCTGCCAGGACTTGTTCAACTCCTTCCGCTGCGCCTGCGGCGCCGGCTGGGGGGGGCTGCTCTGCCAGGCCGACATCGACGACTGCCAGTCGGGCCCCTGTGTTCACGGGGACTGCGTCGATGCGGTGGCCGACTTCCAGTGCGAATGCTTCCGGGGCTTCATCGGGAAGACGTGCGACATCAACGTCGATGACTGCGTGCGGCACCAGTGCCTCAATGGAGCCACCTGCATCGATGGGGTGTACGGCTACTCCTGCAAGTGCCCCCCTCAGTATTCGGGACCTCACTGCGAGTAAGTGCCTCGGTTGTTTGAGGAGGGGTCAGAGGAGTCCCCACATAAATTGGACTTTGGGACACTTTGGGACATCTTTTCTTTGCAAGTGTCTGGTAGGTAAAGCACCGAAATTCTGCTGTTGGAAGGTGCTGTCCAGGTCCAGATCCTCACTGAAGGGTGCTCAGTCTCGGACAGGATAAGGATCCTTCCTTTTTTACCTGGGTTATCCCTGTGCTACATTCCAGAGCTGTTTATAGTGCAAGTACTATAGTGTGTTGTCACCTTCCTCTTGCATCCCCTCAGCAATCCCATCTTCTCCAGGACTTGTCTCCTCTCTGGCCATATTCCAGTATTGATTTAAAACAAAAAGAACAAACAAAAAAAACCCACTGGCCTTCTTATTAATGGGAAGGAGGCCCCCAGCCCCCGGAGGATGGAGCAGGCTGTGTTCTAAAGTTTCAGGTGCACGGAATGTCCTGGAGTGATAGAAGCGGCCCCTGTGCGAATGGGTTTCTGCAGAAGAGGGACAATCTAATTTCCACGGAGAACACGGTTTTTGATAAATGCATAATTTTGATAATTTTGATAGAGATTACCTGCAGCAGGAGTCCCTAACTGAGGTTATTTTTGCTACTAGTGGTACACAGCCACCTTTCACAGGATGCTTGGCCTGCCTGCGAGCAGAAAGCTGCCCCAGTTCTCATGAGGCCTTACCCAGACAAATATTTTCCCATAATATTAGATAAAAATACATATGCACTCCTAGAGTGATTAGCAGCATTCCTTCAACCAAAGGCTTGGTTGTATTTTGTGGCACTGGTCCTAAGACTAAGGACATTGTTTCTGTGTATTGATTTAAAAGAAGGTCTGTTTGAGTATCCTGCTCCTTATCAAATGTGTATTGGGAGGAAAACAAAACTTCTTTACTTATCACTGTACTGCCTGTACTGCTTAGCAGTGCATATTTCATGTTCCCTCCATGGAGCTCCCGTAAAAGTTGGTGGGAAATCAGTATGGGGTCAGGAGAGGGCTGGGTTTTTTTGATAAGGTCTATATTTATAGCATTTCTATTAGTTTGGAAAAAATCCAGCCTATTTCAGTCACAAAGGTATGTCTCATATCGGTAAAGGAAGTGGGAATCAACATGTTCCATCTGCTTGTGCCTGTTCAAATAGAACACTGAGAGAAATGCTTACCTGGCTGAGCTTCAGTTATCGAATCTTCCCAGGTCAAATCTCCTGTTGTTCTTGCTTCCCTCTGGTGTAGGCAGTTACCCAGTGACTGCATCACCCCTCTGGGGCCCGGCCGTGCTGTGATCTGGTGTTCCAACAATCCTGTCTCTAAAATTTCATTGACACGGACAGAGGAGTGTGTGAGAAAGTCCAGTACAACTCCTGCGTGTTCTCCGCATGTGCCCAAAGTAACACTGTGATATTGTGGGCGATTTCTGAGACTGTTTCCTTCCCCACCTGTGTCAAACTCCCCCTGACTTCATGCCCCTTGGCAGCCCAGTCCCCCCGGAGCCCTCCCCAGACTGTCTGGCTTTACAGGCTGCCTCTTGCTTTCCCAGGTGGCCGTTCCCACCGGAGCAGTGCGGGGAGAACTTCACCTGCCTGAACGGCGGCGAGTGCGTCAGCGAGAGCTGGGGAGCCAACTGCTCCTGCAGGCCGGGTTTCACGGGAAGGAAGTAAGTGCTGCTCTTGGTACCTGCAGAGGAGCTGGGCGGGTTCAGATGCTTCACCCTCATACATCCTTTTGCCATTCGAAAACTGCTCCGAAAGTGTAAACTAGCTGTAATTTTTAGCATGATACGATCCTGCTGACAATACCGATTTTTTTCAGCATGAACTGTTTCCACGTAGTTCTTGTGCCTCATGAGAATTCATTAACTGTGCTAAAGACCCACGCTGGCTCCTGTCATACAGAAATGACAAAAGGAGGATTGGTACGAATGGGTAAAAAGTTCATGTTAGTGGGCCCTGGAGAAAACACCTGAAGAAGATGCAACAAGCACTTTTCAAATGAGCGAGGCTTTTGTAGGCTGTATGATCTTGCGTGTTATGGCACAAGAACACGTGTGAGAAATTTCATTTAATTGTAATACACTTTTCCTTTCCAGTTGTCAAATTAATATAAACGAGTGTGATCCAAACCCTTGCCAGAACGGAGGTACGTGTCAAGACTCTGAGAACAAATACGAGTGTTTGTGCAGCTCCAGCTACACCGGAGAGCGCTGCGACATTAACGTAAGCACTGTCTGTTCTCCCAGGAGGCGGGTGGGAGGGATCAGCAGAGCCCGGGGGGTTAGTGAGTCCCCTGCGTGGGTCCGTCTCCCAGCCAGGGAGTCACCTGGCACCGCAGAAACCTGGAGTGGGAAATTATATTTTCCTTTCGGTGCTGTTGCATGTGAGTCTCCAGCATATATAAGCAGCTGCAGCAAATAGTTTTCAGTATCTGCATGGGCTGCCACGTGGTTTTCAGGGCTGTCTGCAGCTTTCCTTGGATTTTACAACTCCTTGGACAGTAAGTAAGCAAACTCCTGCGGTTGGACCTGTAGAAAGGAGGTATTAATTATATCCCCACCCAGTTTCCTGGAGAATGGGATTTTGGCTGGTGTTTTAACTCAGATGAGAGTGACAAAGCACCTTCCCCCTCCGAAGATCATCTGGGTAGATAGCAATGGATGTTTGGAGAAGGGAGGTCAGATGAATCGGACTAAAAGCCATTCCAGTGAAACGGCAGCAGCCTTTGTCTGCTGCCGGGCCGGGGGGCTGCTGGACGGGCGCTGCGGCGGCTGATGTTCCTTCTCCACGCAAACAAAGCGTCGCTCTGAGGCTGAGCTCCTTCCTCCGTGGAATTTGTTAAATCCTACACTTGCTTGTTCTCTGTAAAGCCACTGCATGGACAGGGAGCTTGTCTGGTAACCTGGGAACGTACTAACCCCCACTGCATGGAGCAGGCTGCGCGCCGGGGCGGGGGTCGCTGCTGTTGCTGTTACTAAGGGTTGGGTAGTGCATGTGCTGCCCCGGGCTCCCGACATTCCCGGTCTGCATGCAGGGACTTCAGGCATCTCCGTCTCCTCTGTCCCAGGGCACTTCTTGTCAATTCCTTCTATTCATTTTCATCATCCCTGTGGCATTTCGCAGAGCTTTTTCCCTCTTACAGGGCCGGGGCCGGAGGTGGGCAGGGAAGAGGACAGGGCCGCAGGAGCCGGGAGCTGGTACCACAGTCGCAGCAGGCAGGAGGGGGCACCGTGGGGAGCTCCGGTGTGTCGGTCCCGTCTGACTAATCGCATGCTCTGAACTAACCCCCAGCGCGTGGCTCGAGTTCTGCCAGGCTCAGAGAATCAACTTCAGGCACTTGACAATGTCAGCAGGACACCCAGGTGCTCTGGGCACATGTTGCTTCGTGACATTGGCATCCAAAAGCTGTAAATAAACTTGAATTCTTTCATCTTCATCTGCAAGGTGGCAGATACTACTTTTAACAATATTTCTCATTTTTAGGCTTACTGTAATTTTAAAGCTTTCTTTAATGACAGAAATTCCACACTTTTTAAAACTCTTTGTTGCTGTGTTCCATGCCATCCTTAATTCCTCCAGAATCTACTGAACACTCATTCAGCGACGTTTCTCTCCTCGGTACTCGGGCCTTACATCGTCTCCATCCCCTGTCCATGTACTGACCTTTTTAACATCCCTCCCTTCTTGCTGCAAGGTGTCTTCAAGTCTGTTCCACAGCATTTTGATGTTGTGTGAACATGCAAGTTTGAGCCTTTGCAATTTAAAACTTTTGAGCTACAATTCAGTGGATCTAGTTCTCACCCTTCACTACTGAAATGATTTAAAATCTTTTGCCCTCGGATTTCACAACGTTCCTGCAAGGCGTGTCAGATCTTGGGTTTCTATCCCGGCCTTTCCTCTGGCTTTGAGATTTGTTAACTGTTTAAGCCTGAAACTTATTACACCTCCTTGTCCCAGGATCTTCAAGGAGGTGCTGAACTCTGCACCGAGTAGTTGAATAGCTAAAAAACTCTCTACCTTGCCATCAGAGGCATCACAACTTCTGTTTTTAGTATCATTCCCTGGCTTGGGGAAATTTTCTGGGGTTACTGAAAATTCACATTACTCTGCATTAACATTATAATTTTTTTTTTTTTTCCCCAACATTTGTTAGATCTTTCCTATTGACACCTATGTGTTTTAGTCTGATGTTGGTAAGGAGGCCCCTTAAAATGTGGATGCTGAATGTCCTGCTGTGGAAAGCTGTAAGCAGAGAGGAGAACGTGGAGTGTGTGATATTATTTGGACAGTTTCAGCTCATCCAGTGATGTCTGAAGTGTTGCTCAAACTCTTAATTGCTGCTGTTCTCACTAACCAACAGCTGGGCATTGTCTTCCTGGAGCCGTTCTGTAGCTCCAGGATTGGTCCCTGAATGTGTCTACAGTTGGTTTTGCTGTCTCCGGGTTAGTGGCCCAGCGCCGTAAATCCTCTTTTCTTCCTTGTGGTAATTCTGTCCATGTGCCCTGCATGAATTTTTGTAATGGTATTAACTGCTCCACCGGTAAATCTCTCTTTATAACTCTGCCCTGTTGAGATCTGCCTCACCAAAGCTGCCAGTTAAAGTGTCATCAATGAGTGTCACTAGTTTTGAATTGGAAAGAAAAATTCAGAACGTGGTCCTGTCCCTTGTATTAAAAAGCCCATTTAAAAAAGAAAAGATAAACATCTTTTGCTGAGGGATTGAAGAATGAACATGAGCATTTGCTGTGCAGGTGCCCTCAAGCCCTGTACCCCTGTACTTGTTCCTTGCTTGTCCTTTTCCATTCAGGTCCAGACCTTCTGCCTTTTTTTTTTTTTTTTTTTTTTCCCTCTTTTCTAAAAAACTTTTTCCCTCTAATCTGACCGGTTTGGGTTCTTCAACTTTAATTATTGTAACCACTGGAGTTTCATTGTTTCTCCATTAATTTCTTTTACAGAAAGGGACTCCAGGTGCTCTCTTCCCCTCCCCACTAATTGAAGTAGCTGTCCCTGTAGCCTGTGGCTCTTTGCTGCTGCTCAGTATTGGTCTCATATTCATGATTCTCACTGCAAGGAAGAGGCGCCAGTCTGAGGGGACCTACAGTCCGAGCCAGCAAGAAGTGGCAGGAGCTCGGTTGGAGATGGACAGTGTCCTCAAGGTGCCACCTGAAGAGCGGTTAATATAGGCACTGCCATGACAAGGAGACGCACCTGCAAGGTCTGCTTTGACCTTGATCTTTTTCCAGCACTGCAAGCAGCAGATCCACCCTTTCTCAGTTTCCCTAAGGCATGGTAACGAAGACACGGACGTAGCGGTTCGGGGCAGACTCTGGGCAGCAGCTGTTCCAGCTGGTGGCAGTTAACGGGGCGGTGGCATGGCCCTGGCTCAGCGGGAGCCTTCGCCTCCCCGTCCCTGCCTGCGCCCCGGGCCTGCTCCCGGGCGGGCGCCGGCGGTCACCGTGCTCTGGCTCCGTCCCACCTCTCAGGCAGCAGTGGCATAAGTAAATCTGCTTTAAAAAGCAGGGTTAACTTAGGCACTAATTTCCAGATTAAGATCTATATATACTTTGAAGGAGCGTTGTACAGAAGCTATTTATGATTGGTTTGTAAATACGGTTTGGTTGTTGTTGCCAACTGAAATGCACTCAATGGTTATTCAGCTCAGGTGGGTGAGGTTTTCCCCACAGCCCTCAACAGCAACAGCAGCTGGGAGCTCCCGCCCCGTGCCAGCCGCAGCCTCACAGGGAGGGGTCGGCAGTGCCTGAAACCCTCCTACACTCGGCTTTACCCAGCGCTCGCCGTTCGCCTGTCCCGGGTCACCGCCCGGGAGAGGGGCAGGCGGAGGGTCGGGGGTTCGCCTGGGGCCAGGTGCTGAACTTGGGGCTCGCGGGGAGTGGAGGAGAGCAGGGGAGGGCTCAGCAGCTGCTTCTGTGTTCCCTGGACTCGGGGGTGACCGGGAGGGGACAGAGAAGGGGGGAAGCTCCCGTCTGGCGCCGCACAGCTTGGAGAGAGGCGCTGGGGGCCGGGGGCGAGGGGTGTGAAATGCTGCGCGGTCCCCGCAGAAGCTCTGAGTAACACCCTGTTCTACCGCAGCAGCCGGTCTGGGCCCATCTTAGCAACTCCTCCGTGGTGGGCGCCGTCGGGGCGGCGGGGGCTGCCCTGCTCCTCGCAGTTGTTGCAGGCAGTTGTTGCAGCCACAGCCATTGCCATGAAGAGGAGGAGAGCAACTCAGGGAACATACAGCCCGAGCCGTCAAGAGAAAGATGGGGCGCGAGTGGAAATGTGGAACGTGATCAAGATGCCACCGACCGAGCGGCTGATCTAAGAACCGGGGTCATCCCTAAACTCACGGAGCTGCTGCAGCGTGTGGGTCGCTGCTCTCGGGGGCGGTGCCGTAGGACAGCTCTGTCCTGCTCCGAACTGCTTCACAGGCTGCAGGAACTGCCTGCCCGGCCTCGGCAGGAGCCTCAACTGCTTGAATGAGCTTGGTTAGTGTAGTGCATCCCATAAATGATTTGTGTAAAAAAAGTTCTGGAGGGGGCAGTGGGGGTGAGGAGGGTTGTGGCGGCAGCACGGGTCCAGGGGAGGTGGGACGGGAGGCGGCGGCAGGCACCCCCAGGGGCTGGGCCTGATTGTGGGGCTCCCGGCAGGTCGAGGGGCCGGAGGTGAAACCACTGCGCTCAGAACTAACGTGAATAACGTGGTGGTGTCAGAGCCCACGTGCCTGGGCGAGGGTCCGGCAGGAGAGAGCTCCTAGAGCCGCTGCCCCGGGTCGGATGACGTTACCAGACAGCGAGTACCAGCCTGCTCTACTGGACGCTTCCGAGACTGAACCCCAGGAATGGTTTAAGTGCCTTTCTGAGACTGAGTTGCCAGTGACATTATTAATTGAGGGGAGGATGTTTGTATGTAGAAAAACGCATCACTTCCTCGGGCAGGCTTCGCACCAGGTGGAGGGGAGGCGCTGGCTGGTCTCCCCATCTGCTCCCGGTGGTGGAAGAAGCCCAGTGGCTGCGCAGAGCCCTGTCCCCGGCGCCGCGGGCTGGGCCCTGCACAGGAGGGGAACGGAGGTCACGAAGGCGTGACCTTGGGCACGAAGCCAGGGTGCGTGGGGTGGTGAGACACGGCATTCACTTTCCACGTTGCCCTAAAAAAAAGATCCTGATTTTTGTGACTTTGCTTCTCCTTTGTTACTGTTTTAGTGTGCTTTTTCTTCAGCATAATGTGGCAGAGCCTGTGGAAAGAAATGCAGCAGAGCAGGACGACTAAGGTCCAAAATCATTAGCATTTCGGGATAATTACTACAACTATCAATGAGAAGTATTTTAGAAAGCAGTGTCTGCTTTTTAATCTCCAAAACACTATTAATAAGCAGGGTGTGAATCTGCCCACCATAGCTAATTTGCCAGTGGAAGAAAATTCTGTTTTGCTTTTGGATTTTGTTTTGTTTCGTTTTACTGTAGCTGTCAATTTTTCTGTAATTCTAAGCAAAGGGAAGAGCATGAAACTACTGATCAGGGCTGTCTGCTTAGGTTTTCTGCACACACGCAACTGCTGCTACAGGATGAAGAATAAAAATTCTGGAAAACAGAAAAAAAACCTTTTCCGGGAGGGGAGGGCAGGTCTGCAGGGGCAGGGCCAGGCTGGGGCAAGGAAAAGTCACCCTGGGTCAGGGCTGGGGAGGACACGGAGCCGTTACGGTGTGCGCAGGTAGGTCGGTGTTCTTCATCCCATAATGACCCCGAACCAACCTGGAGGCAGCTTAGAATATGCTTCGGGTTTCTGACAACTCAGCCCTGATTAACCTCCAGGTCGCTGCCAGGAGAGGCAGCTCCCGTCCATCTTTTATCGTTAAATTGTAGAAGAATGAAGGCAGCAACAGGGTCTAAATGAACCAGTAATACTCCAGCCTGTATGATTTTGAGAAGAAAACCAGAACTGTGTTACAAGCACTATTACTAAGCTACTGAAATATCCTGAAAGGCAACAAGAAGCTACACCACTCCCCCCCCGCTCCCCCCAGCAGTAAAGACATCTAAACCCAGCACGTTGCAAGCAGCGAGTCTGTCTGCGGCTGCTGGACGCTCCGGCTCTGCCCCGGCCCAGGAGTAGCAGAGCAGATGTTTTTATTTCAAGCACCCAAAGCCAGTACTAGCAAAAGTGTTAAAATACTTTGTCAGTGTCTTGAGCATTTCTGCAAAATAATTTATGAAAGGTTGTTTTTTTTTTTTCCAATAATGAACTTAACTTTCTTTTGATATTTAATTTTTGAATATATTTTTTCACAAAACTGGGTTTGCTGTAGTTAATGATCATGATTTCTTTTGTAATTGTAAATTTTGTAATTTGTAAAAAATTAGAATGTCCTTCAAAAGAAATTTACAATAAAATTTGGTTAAAAATAGACTTGGTTACCTTGGCTTGTGATTGATCGTTTTCTTTTTTCTGAAGAGTAACTCGACATTTAGTTGGCCAATTCTGGGCTGTCACAGTTTGTACAGCTTCAAACCTTAATGTCTCTTCTACAGTTACAATTTTATGACTTTGCTGATTGCTTTTATTTGCCACACACCACAGCTCTTAAGCAGAGACCTGACCCAAGCTGATCTGCACAGTAAGGATCCGCTGCAGGAACACGGAAGGGGAGTTGCAAAACCTGCTGCACCTTCTGTTCACCTGTGCTGTGACATTTTGCCATTAATCCCTTATTTTACGGGCAAAGCTGCAGCAATCAAGACTGAGGTTAGAGCCCAGAAATACTGGACAGCCCTTGGATCCCGGGGCAGGAGGCAGGAGGACTTTCTGGCTCAGCAGACGGATGGGAGATGAGGGTGTGCGAATACAGGACTTGGACCTAATCCAGGCGGCTGCGCTGAGGGCTGGGAAGGGGCTGGAAGAGCCGGAGGCCTGCGCGAGACGCCGGCACACGGGGGCCTGGCACCCAGAGAGCCCCAAACCGGAGCCAGGTCATCGAACACGCCGGAGTGTAACGGGCCAAGGCTACCCCAAGGCAGCGGACACGGGGGTTGTGTCCCTGGGAAGGCGCCCGCTGAACCCCTGGAAAACCAGGGAGGTTTCTGGCAGTCACAGACCTGCCCCAGGGAAGGTGCGAAGGCAGCGCTGCCACAGCCACAGGCCCTTGCTCCAGCTTCTCGCTTCCCCTAAAAGAAGGGTGAGGTTACAGAGAGCTCCTGCGCTGCCCAAGCTTGTGACGCTCAGGTCATTAAACTCACCGGGCTACGCCAAGCCCCAGGCTCGGGTTGGTTTGAGGCTGCTGCTCCTGGGAACCCCTCAGTCCTACGGGCTGCAGACTGCCCCGGCCCTGGGCTCACGGGGCCTGGAGGGGCAGGGGGGGGGACTGCAGCACCTCTCGTCTTCACTTCTGAAATACCCAAAGCCATTAACCCAACAGTTAGAAGCAAAATAAAAAAAAATAATAATTAAGAAAAAAAAATCTTCCAAAGCTGAATGTTGTAAGCAGCAGCAACTAACAGGCTTCTCGTTCACTCCTAACCAATTTAATCTGCTGATGGTGGAAAAATCACTTTGATGGTGAAGTCTGTATGGTAAGTGTACCAGGAGCTGCACACATTAAAAAAAAATTACAGGTGAGGAGACAAGAATAAATGCTGCAGTGGAAATGGCCAGAGTTAGGGAGCAGCTGTCGTTCGCTTACAAGCTCCTTTGAAGAGCGAGCGAAAATTTCCAACTTCACAGAAGAGACGTTCCTGCACACGCTGCAGTCTTCAGGGTGTCACTGAATCAGGGGCTTCCGAGGGCTGGTTACAGGGACGTTAATGTCCCTTGAAATATCGCAGCCGTTTGTCCCTGACAGACTCCAACCACCTCCCAACCAGAAAGGAAACGGGGCAGTCAACCTCTTGCTTGATTTTTTTTTTTTTCCACATACATAAAAAAAGGGAGGGGG